AAAAACCTGAGCAGGAATCCTTTGCACAGATGTTGTACAATGGGAGCTTTCATGACTGGGTTGGCACCTGCAACCCTGGGTTAACTAACAGTGTCCTAGAGCAGGACAGGGCTTACAAAGGAGTGGGGGGGTGTGCTGGAGCTGAGAACCCTACCCAGTCAGCAGGTGAGCAGAGGCAGATAGCCAGGGTAAAGTGGGGGAGGGGATTGTTAATTGAAAAACTCTCTTTGCTGCCTCCCTGGGTGCTCTATGCCTCAAATGTAATCTCATTGTTCAAAGCATAGAAAGCAATTTATAACCAGCATTTAACCTTAATGTACTCACCAACTCAAGAGGAAAACAGAACATAACGAGATGTTTGGCCAGGTTCTTGGTAACCGGTCACAGAATCCATTAAAAAAAAAAAAAAAAAAAAAACAGGCTAGCTCTGGAGCCAGGCTCTGAAGTCTTCCCTCTGTCTTTATCACTAACTAGACAAAGGGTCACTACCAAAAGTGGCACTGATTACATGCCACTTTTTCCTTGCCTCTCATTTGTGGCACAAGGGCTAAGATACCAGATGTCACTTATAAAAATATTAAAGGATAAGATACACCTAAACACCTGAACTAACTAGGGCCATGCCTAGCTCCCATTAGGCATCCAATAGATGTTAGCTATTGTCATCACCATACTAAATATCATTCATCAGCATCGTGATGAATTTCTTTTCAATCAGGACATAGAATTGGGTTCATAAACTGATGGGTATCAAGGAGGTTGAGCTGTATGTACAGCAATGTATATGCTGCAGGAACAGTATGACTGGCTCTCTGGTCCCGTCACTGCTGCCACTGCTAATGTAGTCAGCATTGGTGTCTCAGAATGATAATGTCACTTGACTCTAATATGGGTTCAAGCAACTGCCAAGTCCAAATTTACCTGAGAACTCTACATGGGTTTGTGCCTGTGTTGTGTCTTGTCCGTTCACTTTCCATGCAGGGAAACTGTGCTCTATCTCCTGTCAAGGTTTACATAAAAGCAAATTGCTCCATCATGGGGCATTACTAACCAGAAAGCTTTAAACTTAACCAATCCTGTATAAAATAGTAGTACTGTAAATAAGAGAGATCAGTTACTTTTCTTACTGCTGTAACCAATACCTGACATGGGAAAAAAAAACATAAAAGAAGAATTCTTTGGTGCTTATGGTTTGAGAGTTCAGTTCATCACGATAGGGAAGGCATAGTGACGGGAGGGGGAGGCTTCTTGTCCACAGCTCCATGGACCAGGATGAAGAAAGAGATGACAGGAAGCAGAACTGGGCTCTAAGCCTCAAGGCCCACCCACTATGATCTACCTCCTGCAGAAAGATTAAACTTCCTAAACTTTCCAAAATGACACAGAACAGAGTTACCAGCTAAGAGTGTTTAAACATATGATCCTAGAGAGGACACTTCACATGCAAATCACAGTAAGAAGTGTGAATCTCGGACTATAGCAATCACTGTGCCAAAGGGAGTCGAGTGCTCTCTCCGAAGTCTTGTCCTTATTCTGGAGCTGCCTGGCTCAGTATAAAAACCCTTTCTAGACTGAGTTGCTCAAGCTAGAATCCTGGGTTTCATACTTGGTTCTCTCCATATACTGTCAGAGCCAGTCCACCAGCCATCAACTTTTCAGTTCCACAGTTTACTCAGTCTTAAACCCACCTCCTTCACCTTCCTAATCCAAGCAACCAGCATCATAATGGATGACTACTAAACCAGTTTCATCACTGGTCCCCCTGTATTGACTCTGGACTTTCTCTAATGCCATTTTATGGCAACCTCTGTGAGCTCTGAGAACCCATTATGTGTCCAGTTTTTAAAGTTCCATAAATCTCTTAGGTTAAAAACGAACATGCTCCTTGCTGTCTGATTTGGGTTCTGCACACCCCTCTCTCAAGGACACTGTGCCCCCACTGACTCACTGCTCTCTAGCCCCATCCTCCCGATGCTCCTTCCTGCCCATATCCAATGCCCTCTCTCCTTATTATCCATGTCATTACTTGATGTTCCTTCCTCGTGTGAACCTCTCCCTACACTCCCCACATTCACAGCATTTGGGTTCGAGCTTCTTACATGAAGAATCATTGAAACTGTGTCACTTTCACTTACAGGATACTCTAACATGTGAAAGCAGAGACCCATTCCAACATTTGCAGAATGTCTAGCTCCTTCTCTGTTACCATGATAAAACACCCTTACCAAAATCAATCCTGGGGAGGAGAGGACAGATTTGAAGGCATAATCTATGCATCCATCATTTAAGGTAGTTGGGGTAGGAGTTCAAACAGAAACTTGAAGTCTGAAACCACAGAGGAGCATTGCTTGCTGGCTTGCTCACAAGTTTATGCTTAGCTTTCTTATGTAAGCCAGGACTACCTACCTAGGGAGTGTGCGTCCCACAGTGGGCTGGGTGCTCCTAAACCAATTAATAATGAAGACAATCCCTACTGATATGTCCTGAGGTGGCTCTGATCCAGAGATTCCTTAATAGAGACTACTCCAGGCTGTGCCAAGTTGATAGTTACAGCTAACTGAAACATTGAGTGCACCCCTATCTGTTGAGTGAGTAAATGGATAAAGCAAATTGTTTTTTGTTTGTGAATAGATGGGTAGGGAAAAAAGGAGGGGACTAAAACCACTTCAGGAACAGAAATATGGGGACTACAGACCCAGCACATGCTAGAGAAGGGTGTATATAAGAAGTGGTAGGAGGCCTGGCATTGGTGGCGCATGCCTTTAATCCCAGCACTCAGGAGGCAGACACAGGTGGATCTCTGTGAGTTCGAGGCCAGCCTGGTCTCCAGAGCCAGTGCCAGGATAGGCTCCAAAGCTACACAGAGAAACCCTGTCTCGGAAAAAAAAAAAGTGGTAGGAGATGCATGGGAGGGGCCAGTAAAGGGTGACTGACAATCAGAAACAGGGTGGGGGGGTGCTCGCTTGAGGGTCTGATATAAAGGAACTGCAGCTCACAGGCCCTGTGTGTTAGTGTCATTATTGTTGTGATGAAACACCATGACCAAAAGTGACTTAGGGAGGAAAGGGTCTATTTCTCTCGAGTTCCAAGTAGCAACTCTTCTCAAACGTACTGCTATGAGCTCAGGGAACTTTTAAGTTTCATGATTTAACTGATTCAACCTAAAAAGCAATATTTACAGATGCATGTTATTGTCATAAAATGGAAATACTGTATGAAAATAAAACTTCAATGGGCAGCACACAGAGAGAAAATAAAAGGAAAGGAAAGAAGGGAAAGGAAAAGAAAAGGAAAGAAAAGCTGCAACTCCTGCTAAGAAGTGGAGAGCTGCTCTGCTCTTCTCTGTAGATCTGTTGGAGAGACCAGTCATAATCTGAACTGTGGAGTAGAAGGGAAAGGAAGGCTGCAGCCTGAAACAGTCAATAACTTAGCAACCACTTCCGCATCCATAGAGAAGGCTTTTGGTTTGTTACAGAATTAAAGGAAATTAAGATTTCAGTATGTCCAAATGTTTAAATTTGTTTTTCAAGCACAGTTTTAACTATCAAAATTTTTTAAGAACCCCATCTCCAGTCTCCCCCAGAGACTGCTATTCACATTCTAGCAAGCAAATATCACATTACCAGCTAGAAAAAAAAAAGTTTGCATATAATCTAATTTGTAGTAGAGTACCTTTATTTTCAGCTCAGTGCACATATTTTTTCCCTTTAGGCTGGTGATAATAACTGTCCCAGAACTGAGTTTGCCTAATTCTTTGAGTAAAATAGTTCTCAAATGTTTTGGGCTCAGAGCTCCTTCATACACTAAAAGATTATTGAGGAATTTAAATAGCTTAAAGTTAAATTTAAAACATATCAATCTATTATTTTAAAGTAAGAAAAGGCACATTATACACTAACCTAAGTAATATATTTTGTGAAAATAGCTGTAGCTTCTAAAACACAAAATATCTAATCAATAAACACCTGGGTTCTCATACCTGTTCCTGTATTTAACCTACTGTGGTAGCTTGTTTGGTTGAAACACGTAAAGAAAACATTACCTCCTGCAGATGCATAGTTAGAAAAGGGAGGAGTGTTTTAATAACTTTTCAGATAGCCATGCTACTATTTCACACCTTGTCTAGCAGGGGCTCTCAGATATTAGTTACAATATGGAAAATAAAAATGTATCAACAAACCTCACTCTGTTGATAAATCTCATTGTATTTCCTGCCTTTCGCCTGTAGCTTTTACCCTAAGGAAAACTGAAACATCTCTCATCTGGAAAATACCTATTCACTGAGCTGGGCAAGTCCTCTACTTTTTTAAAAAAACATATAACCACACGATTATATATTCAGTGTATGCACGTGAATGAATTGCCTACAGAGGCCAGAAGAGGGCATTAGATATGCTGGAGCTAGAGTTACAGGAGATTGGGAACAGCCAACTTTAAGAGCTGGGAACTCCAGTCCTCCACAAGACCAGTATGTGCTAAGTGCTGGGGCCATCTCTCCAGTACACAGTTTCCATATTTTGACAACTATATAAAAAATGTCAAGTTAAGATTACACTAACATGGTCAGAAAACAGCTTAAAATAACGAGAAGTTGTTAAGCTCTAGGTAACAGATATTAAAATGTTAAACTTTGAAAATTTAGATTCTACCATTGAGTTGTTTTCCTGGAAGAGACAGGGCTTCAATATATAGAATGGAAGGTTTTAGACTTGATTTATCATTTTGCTACATAGAACAGTAAGAAAAGAGGCTTGCTCAAATATCAAATTTTAATAAAAATCATTGATACCCTGATTACACGATTTTTGCTATGAATCTCTGATGAGGAGGAGAATGGTATTTAATGGTGTAATTTGGTACCACTACCTCGATTTATGCTCAGCATACACCTTGGCTATGGAATAGTTGGTAAAGATGCCAATAGAGACAAAAGGGAAAATAATACATGTTGTTGTGAAAAGAGCTGTGAACACATGAAAAACTCTTCGGGCACCCCATGGTCTGAGCATCGTACAATAACTGATTTATTTAAAGGATTATCCTATTATTTATTTAACAGGATTCATTCCACACAGCCTATTCTAACTCATAATTTTATTGTCTATGAAGTGATCCATCTTCACTTGTTTCCATTCACTCAAGAGTAGTGTGCTACCAATTGATGAAATGAACACAAGTCATTGTTTCAAGGCATGCTGCATCACTGAAAAGACAGAAGTCATTTATAGCACTTATTTGGTCATTGTTACCCTTTTAGCAACAAAGGACAGTTAATGATGATGATGGAGAGATAATCTCGAAAGCAGGTTTTCAGAAGGCTAACCTTAAGCAGATGCTTATGAAGGTAAGATAGGTCTCCATTATTAATTTAAACTCTTCAGAAAAGATGGCTTTTTTATCTGTGGGCTTTTTTCAAAATATCTGTTGCTTCTAGTAGAATAGAAATGCTCGTAAGCTTTCACCTTTGTCAAATAGACAGGCAAAGAAGTCAGATCTAGGTTTTTTAAAGGAATTGCCCAGCCCATGCTGAAAGCTATAGTGAAAAGTCTACTGATTCATCCCAGGTATTTTTGAACATGACAACAAGCAGAGGCAGGAGTAAATCACGCCAAAGGCCTTTTGAGGATGGCTCTGCCCACAGGACAGGCATACACCAAGCAGACTCTTGTTCCTCCAGTTCATGTTGGAACAAGGTCTTGACTCCTAGTTCCCCACATGGATGGGTTTCTCAGAGTTATGACCATTGAATGAGTGCAAAAAGACCTGTCTGATTCAGCCATCATTATAGAGAAAACATGAAAAAAAAACTTGCTTTTCTGCATTGCTGGCACAAAGTCATAAAGCCATCCTTTGGTCCAATTACATGGTCCTGACCCAGGATCGGCTGTTTATAGTCCTTAGCTAATTTCACAAAGGTTTTACTTGCTTAAGGTTAGAAATATGCAGATGTGGATTCATGTAAGGTCACTGCATACTTTACCCATTTCTCAGTGTATCTGTAACCTTCTGAGCTACTTTCTATAATAGACATGTTCCAGAAAGGCATATTATTCAGTCAAAGCACTGCTGTATGATCCAAAGCATCCTTACCACGACAGATTGTTGATTCTTGAGTCTACAAAAAAGTCCCTTCCACTGGTCTGATACAGACTTCATGGTCAGATCTTGTCTGTGCCTGTGCTGCATAGTCTTCACTTCCATTGGTGTGCCACAGGCTTCAGAAACATGGAGATGGCTGCCGAGTCCTGCATCACGTGTGCCTGTTGTAGTCCCACATCTGCTCAGGGACCAGGAAATGGACGCATTGGGCATCATCGAAATCTCAAGATGTTAACGACCATCTCTTTTTGCTTTCTCCATCAGAGCTATCTCTCTTCATTTCCAAAATTAAAAGGTCTCTTTCATCTCCTCCACTTCACACATTTCACTGGTCTCTATATGCCATCACATGACACAACAGATAATTACAGTTTTTTCATTGGTAAATATATTGATCAAAGTCTCTGTGTACATATGGATGTCTCTTTTTTATTATTTCAATAGCATAATCAAGAAATTTGTGAGTCCTGTTGTCTGGACTCACAGACAACAGGTGGTGGTGGAGAGGTCAGTTGGGCTGGCTTGCCCTCCAAGCTGTAGATTGAGTCTTGCCAAACTGGGGTTGTTCAGCCATCAAAGCCCAGGTTCTTATTTCAGGCAAGTCTGGCCATCTCTCTTGTCTGGCTTCCTCTTAGTTGATCACTCCCTGGCCAAGCTTGTTGGGTGGGCCTTGTTTGGCTTCAAGGAAACAGTAAATTCAGGTCCATTGAGACAGCTTTGTCCTAAAGAGAGGAATTATGACTTTGATTTCCATTTAAACCATGAAAGTTGACTATTACAGATGGAATGAACTCTTGAGATCTTTTCCTAAGAAACAAACAGCCGCGAAAGGCTATTTAAGTACTTGGAATTCACATTATCTCTAGCTAGAAAGACAAGGAGTAAATATGTAAAGGAGAACAGTGAATAAAGGAGCTGTCTGTACAAGGTGGCTATCATGCCTTTTCTAGATGTAAGGGAAACAAATAATAAAATAGTAAGTAAAGAATCTTATCTGCTTCTGCTGAACTTATTCCCACAACTCAAACACATCTATTATAGTAAAAAATAAGCAGTATTTGGTTGCCTCTCTTCTCACTTAAGTTCTTATGGTTTTGTTAGTAGCATAAGTAAACTCCTTTTCATAGGACTGCATAAGTCTATTTTATTCTAAATGTTACAATGTAGTCTATAAACACTTGTATTTTACCCAAGTAGTTCCATACACCAGTACATTGATCTTTTCTTGAGCAGATAATTGGGAAACATTATTAATACATTTGAATGCAGGTACACAGGCACCTTTTAATGGGATAGCTTTTAAGTCTCAAACTCTCTAGGTCACAGGAAGCTCATCTACACACAAGTCTAACATATATTTAATTGTTTTGCCAAAGGTGCCACTTCTACCTCGCTTGACCCACTTCTTATTTCATTGAACATGAGTACAGCATCTATTTAGCACTGTCCAAGAAAATTCCCTAGGCAAAATATGTATACATGGAGGGTTTTGACACCTTGCCTGACTCTCTTGCTGATGTACATTGGGTCTGCTTTCTGTTGTCAGCCAGTATAAACAGCCTGGCAGAAATGAGACACTTGTGCTATGAGACTATTGAAACAGTGGTACCCACTGATCTGTAATTTTACTAGAAGTCTCATGCTGATTGAAGGGAGAGGATCACATCTGTTGCCATCCAGAGAAAGAGATTTCACATGGTTCTGACACTTGTCAGAGAACTTCACTGGAGATACTAGAATGTAGGCAATAACAGGTCAGTGATAAGTGGAACTATGCCTTTGACCAGTACTGCTTAGTTACACATGTCTCTTGTTTTATATTTAAACCTGAATCTCAAGTCAGACCCTGAAATGGATGGAGATGTGTGCCACTGGACCTTTGTGTTCCTCTTACCATGTGACCACATTGAACAAACCACCTTCCTCTGTTTTTCACTATTACCTCTAGATGGCTGATTGTGATGGTTAGTTTTAATTGTTGATTTGACACAATTTAGAGTCACCGAGAGAGAGAGGTTCCATAAATTAGTATCTAGATAAGGATGGCTTCTGGGAATGTTTAGGGCATTGGTGTGGGAAGACCCTACTCATAGTGGATGGCACCATTCCCTGGGTTTGGGGTCCTAAGCTGAAAAGAAAAGAGAAAGTTAGCCGAGGACACACTCATTAATCCACTGCTTCCCACTCTAGTCTATGGATGCAATGTGACCGGTTCACTGACAATCTCACTGCTGTGACTCTCCTACCTGATGGACTGTAACATGTAACTGTGAGCCAATAAAGCCTTTCTCCTTGAAGTTGCTTTTGTTAGTATTTTGTCACAGCAATAAGAAAAGAAACACATATGCTTATCCTATCTTGCTAGGGTTGTCAAGACCAAGCTCTAACAACTCCATTCATACCAGGATTTTACTTCCTAGAACAGATGGATGCTAACTTTCAGAACCCAGGAAACAATCCTGATCCAGAGGGTCTCTGGGAGAACATCCACAGGCCAAATGCTTTCTCTGGAGCTCCATCTGAAGGAACAGAGAGTCTATAAGGCATACACTTCGAAGTGTCTTGAAGATGATCTAGAGTAAAAATAAATCCACCCCCATCACCCAAGGAACAGAAATCTTAGACTGTCCTTCAGAATTTAGTGTTCACTTGGAGAAATTACTAAAGAAGTTCCTGGTCCCTGGGGTTATGTAACCCTCGAATAAAATGATTTCAAGGGAATCATATGACTTTGGGCAAAAGAAAAGGAACATCTTAGTGGCACAGGATCTGATATTTGGGGATGGTTGTATAGAAATGCCAAAGGACCTCCAAATAATGTATACATCAAAATGGACCACAAGGATTGCCATTACTTAGGCCAATAGATAATTCAAACCAAAACTTGACAGTGCCAGAATCATAGCAGGCCAAAAGGATCAAGCAAGTAAGTGAAATATATCTGAAACCGATAAAGCCAGGCAGTGCGCTAAGAAAATAAAACCACAGTAAAAAATAGTTTGTAAATGTATTGTATATGATTTAAATTCTGTTGTTCCCTATTTACTGAATCTTTTGGGATACTGAGTCTTAAGATGACTGCTTACCCTTTTTTCTAGTGACTCAGTACAGAGCCCTGAAATATGTAAACTTGATCTATCTTGCTATAAATATAAAACAGCTGCCTTAGTTTTCCTCAATAAACCTGATTTTCATTAAGTAAAACAATTCTGAGAGTGCATTTTCTAACAAATTTTGCTGATTGACCTCAACATTCTGTTTATAATGTATAACCATGCTGGGGGAAAATAGCATAAAGCCTGGGTAATTTCCTTAATTCACAAATTCTTTGTTATTTCCCATGGAGTGAGCTCCTTGCATCTGGAAAAGCTCTTGTAGTTAAGTACTGTGGCCAAGCAAAGTCTGCCTTAAGGAATTTTACATATATTCTCTCTCTCTCTCTCTCTCTCTCTCTCTCTCTCTCTCTCTCTCTGTGTGTGTGTGTGTGTGTGTGTGTGTGTGTGTGTGTGTGTGTGTGTGTTAGAGTGAAGAATCAGTGTGGCACTTCTTAGGTTTCAAAAGGACACCTGATTGTACTGAACCCTCTGCCACAAAGTGGAACTGTACCAAAACAATTCCAGAAAATTCAGTGTCAGAAAAGTTTAAGCAAGAAGTTCTATGCTGCCATTCATCTCTGGTCCTTGTGGGTTTCCCAGTTATGAAGGCTTTCTTTGTTCAGAACCTCTGTCCTTCCTGGTAAACCCCGCCTCAGCCCTGCCCAACTTTTTCCCCTTCTGAGCACAGCCTTGGCAGCCCCTACAGGTGCCTACTACTCCTCAAATCCTTACAACTACACAGCACTCACTACTAAAGGAAGTCATCCTGCTTCTTTGCAAGCAGATCAGAATTGAGGGGTCACAATAAATCAGTGAAATAATTGCCTTTCTTCAGTAACAGGAAGCCATAGCATGAAGCCAGATCACTTATGGCAAGACTGGGATTGCTCTGCACTGGAGAAATAGTTCTTCAAACCTGACTGTAACCTTTCATGAGATCAGTAGCAAAGTCTGACAAATGGCAGAACTGCTGTCTACTTGGTCTCAGGGGTTGGGATGTGTGTCAGAGCCGGCCAGTCGTCCCATCCCATTATTTCTGGCCTTATGTTATTAATCTCACAATGCTGTGTTTATTTCCTAATTAATAACCACTACAATCTGTAAGTAGTTTGTGGGAGAGGGTGAATGTGTATGTACCTGCAGGAGTCTGTAAAAGCCTCAGTCTCAGGTGCCATTCCATAGTTGCCATCATCTTGTTTGGAGGTTTGTTTTGTTTTGTTAAGAGGAGGCCTCTCATTGGTCTGTAGCTCAACAAATAAGCTAGACTGGCTGGCAAGCGCTTCTACTGACTAGACTACGTCCCAAGTACGGTAAGCAGTTTGTTAGTTGTTTGGCTGCTCAGTCTTTATACTGAAATACTCTAAAAAGACAAGAGCTGTGTATTTGTAGTTATCTTTATACATGTATCAGATAGTACTGAGTGATATATATATATATATATATATATATATATATAATCTTCTATCATCAATCTATACATATATATGTAGTCTATCAATCCATCTGTCTTTCCACCTAGCTAACTATACCTCCACAGTCATCTTTATATATGTATCAGATCTACTGATGATATATATATATATATATTATACATGTTATATACAATTTATTTGTCATATCCCCATCTATTCAGTGTCTATTAACTATGTATCTATTAATCTGATATCTAACTACACTTGAGTATTCATCACTATACATGTATTGGATGGAATTTACTAACAATTTATCTATTTATCACCTGTCTATCCATCTATCTATAACCTAGCTAGTTATCATCTATATGTTTATGTATCTTCTACCTGTCATCTATCCATCCATCTACCTATATATTTTGATATCTATATAGAATGAAATCTAAATGTAGAGACAAATACTATCCTCTAAACTTATCTCTCCTCAATCCCATCTCTTTGGAAATCTTCATCCCTGCCCAATCAAGCATCTACAGCAGGAACTCCCAAATCACATTAGCCTGCATTGCCCTCACCAGTTGAGAACTTCATATGCATCCTTTGCTCAAGTGCCCTCTGTTTGTACCCACCCAGAAGCAGTTATAATTTGCCTGTGTGCTTAATTTTGAGCATCTATGGACTTAAGTTTCTGTTTGCAATCCAGACCACAAACATTATGTTAATTGAGACATTATGGTGAAATAATTTTCCTTTAGGGATAAGATTTTTCTGTTTCTCAGGCATCATAGGATGGTTGGCCAATTGTTATCCCAAGCATTTCTTTTCCCTTTGTACAAAATGAAGGGGAAAGAAGACTGCTGTGGAAGAGAAACAAAGGATTCTGAAGACATTCGATTACTTTTGAAAGTTGAAGGTGAGCTGAAATCCACTTAATGGGCTCCTTTCTAAGCAAAGGGCATAGAGAAGAAAGCTAAAGTTAAAATAAAACCCACAGTTCAGAAAAGCAAGCTGGAGTCTTGGTTTGGTAAACAAAGTCCCCAGTATGGCATTATTAGAAAGATACACAGTGATGGAGTAAAGAGATGGCTTAGCAACTAAGACCACATGCTGTTTTTGCAAAGAACTACGGTCTAGACACTATCGATCATGGTAGGCAGCTCACAATACTCCACATCTCTAGCTACAAGAGATCCATCAGCATCTTCTGACCTGTAA